TGATAAAATGTGTGACTACTTATAGAAGCTGCAGTGTAGTTTCACTTACATCCAGTCATGACCTGTTCTCACCTCTATTTTCTTACATTTCTCTGCGCAGCCTTTAAAGAGACCATCGATGAGCATTTCTGAGTTTGGATAAGCAGTAGAAACAATAAATCTGTCATGTCTGTCAAGTTTCTGTTCATGTCTGCACATTGTGTCTCGTCTTTCCTGTTTTATTTTGAAATCACTTCACTGGGTGTTCTGTTCTAGTTTTACTTCCTGTACCTGTCTTGTCTCACCTGCTCCCTGATTACCTCCCCGCACCTGTTTCCCATCTACCCTCATTACCTCGTCTATATTACCCTGTGTGTCTCACTGTCTCGTCGCCAGTTCGTTGCACTTCACAGTCCTCGTACCAGCGTTATTCAAGTTAAGTCTGTTTGATCTTGTTTCTGCTTTTTGGACCTTACCTCTGCCCGCCGATTCTTGGATACTTCTGCCTGTTGGACTGATTTCCTGTGTATCGAACCCTGACTGTTATTAAACCTGAGTTGAGCACTTGTGTCCACCTAATCTGTTAGTGAGTTCACGACAAAATCATTTCTGTGCAGGAACTTTTTCTTCGACAAACTGTTCAGTGAGATCATTTCGGGGACGGGCTTCGCAGGAAATCGGATCCGGCCAATAGCTGGTCGCCCGCTGCATCTGTCAGTGGAAGCCTTCTGGTGAATAGACTGTAACGCGTCACTGAATGTTTAAACGGTGATTCACACGTGTGAAGAGAAAGACCAGAAAATTCCCACTCTTACTCACCGTAAAGCGTCGCAGTCTCCAAACACACACGTACGAACATACTCTCCAGAATATTGTCCTTTTTTTTTTTTTAATGGGATGGAACATGGGATAACGCCACAGCCTCACTGTCCTCCAGCATGGTGGTGGTCCCTCATAAATAATGCTGAGCTCTCTCTAAAAGATTCTCTGACAGGCTTCCTTGGCACTTCGTCAAATCGGGGAGGGGAAGGGGGGGAGCCTGCTGTCAGTTCACTTAGTCAGGAGTGGGTCCTCAGCAGATGTGACGTGGGCCTGGGTGGGAAGCAGCAGCAGCTCTCCCTCTTCTATGTGAAAATATCCGAATGGCAGGTCCTGATCGAGCGCCAGAGTCTCCTGCCAGTCGATCGCCAAGCTTCTCTCTCGCTCACAGGATTGAAATGTGCCTGTCATTTTTTGGGTGGGAGGGAGGGAGGGGACGGGGCATTCGGGGCTTGAACATGCTGTTCTTTTCTTCCGATCCGCTCGGAAAGCAAAAGCGAGTTTGTGCTAAACAATAAGGCGGACAAATTTATTTTCCCGCTAAGCTCGTTTGGAGCGGTTTAGTCATATTTGCAGAGGGAACGGAATTACAACCGACGAGGCTGGAGAACCGTTAAGTGCAAGTTTTATGGGTATCAGAGGACTACAGGTGTACAAGTTCAAGCCGCTTAGAAGGCCAGACTTAACAGCATTAAGGGACGGCAAACATCAGTCTGGGCTTGACGCTCATTATTAAGCAGCTCATAGTGTCTTTACAGACAGTCAAGGCTAAATCATGCAAACGCGCACACACACACCCAAACATAAGCCTTACATCACCTTTATGGAACAATAGCTTTCAAAATTGCCACCGAGACACGAATTAGGAGACGAGAAAATAGCTCTTGAGGCCCCATTATCTGACAATAAAAAGGGTAACCACCTATTTTGGATGCTTCAGTGTGTCCATTGAAATTCTTGAAATGCGGGTACACTTGCACTCGCGCAGAATCTAATGATGAAGCAATATTTGGAATATTTTATTTTAACCGTCGTGTGGTGTGTAAGCGGCGGAGGATGTCCCAGAGGGAAGGAGGCAGGAGAAGACAATTACTGAAAGCATTATAACGCTTTCAAAACAACACAGAACGCCTTGATGAGGGATATTAGGTGCAGAAAATAGCACAATAAATACGTCATTTACGGTGGAGTTCACCCGTATTTTCAAAATAACTGTCATCATGTCCTCCAAAGAGATAATAATGTCCTCAAAAAGTGTTTCCCTGCAAGGAAACCCGTTTAAATAACTAATATCTTAAACAGCAGCACATCATCCTCTACTTTTTAGACCATCGCTTTATAATTGTGAACGTCTCACTTTGAAAAAAAAAAGGGAATTGTTGCCTTCTGACAACCTTCAACTCCTGAAGCTCCAAGAATCCGAGGATGCTTTTTCAACTCCCCTCCTGCCTTTGACTCCACCAGTGAAGGAGCTGTGTCGGTGTCGGCGAGGGAGAGGCGATTGTGAATTCCTTGTGATGATTAACGGTGTATTCAAGGGAGTATTCAGCCCGTCTTATCTGAGCCCCGAGCTAAATTGCTCTCTTTTTCCAGCCCCGTGAATGCTCGAGTGCCGCCGTATTATACGAGATGTCCCCCCCTAACGGGTGAAGGAGCGTTCGATTATTTATTCATGCACTTACCTTTTTTTTTTTTTATTTCTATTTGTGAGGAAGGGGGCCAGAAAAGGAACGAGACACAAAAGTTCAAGCTGTTCTCTCACCTTTTTTTTTTCTTCTTCTTACAGCAAAACTATCATGAACTGCATGGAGTGTTTGGGTACACACACTGTGGCACAGCAATCATTTATATTTAATAGGTTTGAGGCGAAGCAAAGAGAAGAGACAAGGTTAATCCTGTGATTTCTCCTGAACAGACATTGTGCTACTAAATCAGTTTTTTTTCTTTTAAATCTCATTTTTACATGAAAACTGAACTTTATTTGCAAACATTTACAGCCGCATACATCCAAGATGTCCGACCGATGCTACCTGCTGAGTTAATTACGGAGCCGTTACAGACTAAGTGCCTTGGCTAAGGGCGACTCGGCAGTTATTTCATTGTTTGTGCATGAATGGTTTCTGTTCAAGGAAGCTTCTGTAACCACGAGTCTGTTCAGCCGACCGATTCCTTAAGAATTAATTTGTAATATTGTCTTCGTGGCTGCGAACACTGTGACATGATTATTTTATGTTGACACTTTAGATGTTGTAAGCTTCAACTTTTCCTCTTTGGAAGGCTCTGTGATCTCTTTTTTTTTTGCATCTAACGATCAAACTCAATCGCTAACTCGTAACCGTTGCCATAGATGTGGCGAGGCTCTGTGCACATACATCTGCATGTCTAAAACAATACTCTGTTGTATTTCTGTGTTTGGCTTTGACAGCGGGAGCGTCGGGAGCATCCTTACCCTTCAGCTCTCACTCCCACTGAGGAGGTGTGCAGCGTCCCTGCTCTCCACGACGCCACACTGATGTACTCCTCTGGGGGGAGGCGGGGGAGGAGGAATGGTACAGAAGCTGGGGAGAGACTTATAATATATATATATATTTTAAAAGATGCTCCCCCTCCTTTTCTTTGTCTCTCTGCATCACTTTCTCTCTGTTCCTCTCAGTCTGCTCCAGGGTTGTCTTGAGACTGAACCTCGGCTCGTCTGATGAAACCCAGATGTGCATGAACCCAAGTTTATGAAAGCGAGAGGAAATCTGTGTGATTAAGATGCCACTAAGTTTTT